TATACCAGTTGATTCCAATCCTATCAATCTCTATTCCAAAGGTTAGGGCGTTTCTTATCTCCATTCCAGGGAGTAAAGATTATGTAGTTTAAGCATGATTGTTCATAGTTAAAGTGATTAATTACCCGCCTGGCACTTAGTTAAGGGGTTTTATTCCCTCCCTAACTTCAGGGGGAAATCCCTACCTGGGGAAACAACATTTCTCAGAGAGGTGACCTTGGTTAAAACACATAGTGCCAAGGAGGTGAGCAAACATATTAAGAACAGTATGCCATATATGCCAGGTCCCTTGAAACAGCAAGGATGGCCCAGCTCCCAGCAATTTGGTACAGATTATTGCATGTTTTTAGTGATTTACAAGTGGGTTCTAGCACTGCACTCTAGTGTGCTTACTGCTCTAAGTGATTTGCCCACATTGTACAAACGCCTTTCTTCACTCTTTTCTAACACTGAGAGTAATTTACACTTGTTTTTCAAGTCTTTCAGTTTACTGCTGCTTTTAAATGAATTCTCAGTGGTTTCTTACCCTGTGCTATAGTGTGCTTACTGCTCTATTTCAGGGATTTCCCTGCATTGTACAAACACCTTTCTATACTCTTTCCTCATGTTGAGGAGTGATTTGCATGTGTTTTCTATTTTGTCCAGTTTACTGCTATTTTTCAGTGAATTCCAAGTGGTTTCTAAGACTGTGATATAGTGTGCTTTCTGCTCTCTACCAGGGTTTTTTACCGCATTGTACAAACATTTTTCTGCACTTTTTCCTGATGTTTACAAATGATTTCCACCTGTTTTACAACTATTTTGTACACTTTAATGCTTCTTTCCACATGTTAAGAAACTATTTTTCCAGTTTACTGCAGCTTTTCAGTGAATTCCTAGTGGTTTCTTGGACTGGGCTGCAGTGTGCTTTATGCTCTCTACTATGGTTTTTCCCATATGTACAAACTGCTTTCTGCACTTTTTCCTGATGTTTACGAGTGATTTCCAGCTGTTTTGCAAGTATTTTGTACAGTTTAGTACTGCTTTTCAGTGAATTCCCAGTGGTTGCTAACATTGTGCTATAGTGTGCTTGCTGCTCTATTTAAGGGATTTGCCGGCCTTATACAAACACCTTTCTTTACTCTTTCCTCACATTGAGAAGTAATTTACAACTGTTTTCTAAATATGTCGTACAGTTTACTGCTGTTTTTCTGTGAATTCTCAGTGGTTTCTAACACTGTGCTTTAGTGTATTTACTGCTCTATTTCACGATGTCCTCGCATTGTACAAACACCTTTCTGTACTCATTCCTCACATTTAGAAGTGATTTCCACATGTTTTCCAACTATTTTGTACAGTTTACTGCTGCTGTTCAGTGAATTCCTAGTGGTTTCTAAGACTGTGGTATAGTGTGCTTCCTGCTCTTTACTGGGGATTTTCCCTCATTGTACAAACAGCTTTCTGCACTCTTTTCTAAAGTTTAGAAGCAATTTCCATCTGTTTTGCAAGTATTTTGTACAATTTAGTACTGCTTTTCAGTGAATTCCCAGTAGTTTCTAACACTGTGCCATAGTGTGCTTTCTGCTCTTTAGCACTGATTTCCCCTCATTGTCAAACACCTGTTGTCTACACTCTTTCCTGATTAGAAGTGATTTCCACCTGTTTTCTAACTATATTGTACAGTTTAGAGCTGCTATTCAGTGAATTCACAGTAGTGTCTAACTCTGTGCTAAAGTATGCTTTCTGCTCTTTTGCACTGATTTCCCCTCATTATCAGACACCTTTCTATAATCTTTCCCTATGTTGAGAATTGATTTCCACCTGTTTTCTAACTATATGGTCCAGCTTAGAGTTGTGCAGTGAATTCAAACTGGTTTCCAAGAGTGTACTATAATGTGCGTACTGCTCTACAGCACTGATTTCCCCTCATTCTCAACTTTCTATGCTCTTGGAACTGATTATAGTATTATCCTTTCTCTAACTTTTAGTTCTTGTCTGTTGAGTAACAGCCTTGACTTGAACACTCTAGTGGGGTAAAGAGAATCCATAAACCCATTATAATTTTTTGTCTGCCAGTGACTTCCGCTGCAGGAAATAGGTATGGGGGTCCTCAGAATATCCTAAATGATCATACAAGCTCAGGCCCCAGAATAATTCTGGATTTACGGCCAGAAGAGACACTTTTCATCTTAATTAACTGCACTCTCTCCCATGACTATGAAAGCGGTATTTCTGTCCCAATACTAATTCCACCTCAGAGTTTCACAAAAAATGACAAAAACCTACGAAATTTCATATATCACGGCACATGGCCTCTTTGGAGCTCGTACAGAGTAGTTCTCTAAACATTGCTGAAACTTAAATAATACATACTGTGAACAGAGATAATACATTTTTTTGTACAAGCACAACAAAGTCCTCCTCTTTGTGGTGAGCATTGATCTCACCAATAGTAGAGGCACCAAACTTCAAATTAAAACCACAAAGTCAACTACACTTACTTATAAGGCCTAGGTCAGCAATACAAAATAAGTCAATATTGAACAAACAGTGATTTTCTGCAATCATGCTGTTTCTTCCAAAGCACACAAAGTTTGGTAACCGACCATATCCATTTACCTCTCCATGCTGACAGTTCACAACTTTCCTTTCAAATCATCCCAGGCAGTGAATAGAACCAAAAATTACAGGTATAAAAGAAAAAAATGCCTTTACAAAAACATAAACTAGAGCAGAGGACAGCAAGCAGTATGCAGGTTGATGAATCAGAACCTGACACAATTAATGACAGCATATGTGAGAATCACATAGTCCCTGACAGAGATAGGACTTCTTAGCTGAGGACAGGTGCTCTGAAAAAACCCTGGGTCATGTGCATTCCCTAGTGAGAGATAAAGGAATGAAGATACTGCTAAGAGCTCAGAGTAATTATTTCCTCAAGCACACGTAAGAACACCAAAGTTATTTCTCCTGAGCACACAGATGATTGACTGATGCACATCCTTCAGGTCGTAGAAGTGAAATTGATTCAGCCAAAAATATTCAGTGATATTAATGGGGTATGAGGTATGGGCAGGTTGGGAAATGAAGATTCTTAAAGTCTCACTTGTACCTGAAACTTATGAGGAATCTCTAAGAGTGTACCAGTATATATACTAATAAAAGCCTAGGTGGTCCTCATGCCCTCACACGATGCCCTCACGTCATCACAAGATGGCCACAAGACGGCCACCACAATATGGCTGCCCTCACAGGATGGCAGCCACAAGATGGCTGGCAGGGGTGGGCGATCAAGCCAGTAGGGGAGGGCAGTTGAGGGCGAATGGGCCTACAGGGGAGGGCATTTGGAGGCAACCGGGCCAGCAGGTGAGGGCAGTTGGGGGCCATCAGGCTGGCAGAGGAGGGCAGTTGGGGACAACCAGGCCGGCAGGGGAGGGCAGCTGGGGGCAAGATCAGGCGGGCAGGGAAGCAGTTAGTGGGTGATCAGGCTGGCAGGCAGAAGTGGTTAGGAGCAATTAGGCAGGCAGGCAGGCAAGCGGTTAGGAGTCAGAAGTCCCAGATTATGAGAAGGATGTCCCAGATTGGAGAGGGTGCAGGCTGGGCTGAGGGGACCCCCCCCTGCCCTGCATGAATTTCGTGCATCGGGCCTTTAGAGATTCTATAAAAGGAGATGATATTCAGGTAAGAAAGTCCCAAAGTATCTCCTTCATAAAATATTCTCTGGACATTTAAGGCTTTTCTGCATTGTGAATTTTTGCCGGGAGCCGGTCCATACTTGCTGTTTCAAGGGACCTGGCATATATGGCATACTGTTCTTAATATGTTTGCTCACCTTCTTGGCACTATGTGTTTTAACCAAGGTCTCTGAGAAAGGTTGTTTCCCCAGGTAGGGATTTTCCCCTGAAGTTAGGGAGGGAATAAAACCTCTTAACTAAGTGCCAGGCGGGTAATTAATCACTTTAACTACGAACAATCGTGCTTAAGCTACATAATCTTTACTCCCTGGAATGAAGATAAGAAACGCCCTAACCTTTGTAATAGAGATTGATAGGATTGAATCAACTGGTATAAATACAGATGCAACAAGAACAGCAAGAGACAGAACTTAGAACACAGAACTTAGAACACAGAACTTAGAACACAGAACTTAGAATACAGAGCTTAGAACACAGAACTAAGAAGAGAGAACCAGGAGGCACAGAACCTACACAGAACGTTCTCTAGAGACAGAAGAACTTCGCTGGAGAGAACATGGCAAAAGATCCTGGACTGAACCTGACTACAGAAATTGGCAAGAGAACCTGACTAGAACCTGGTGACTGAACCTGGCTGGAGAACCTGGACAGAACCTGGCTGGAGAACCTAGCAAGAGAACATGGACACACAACCTGGCTGGAGATCTGAAGCAGAACCTCTCTGGAGATCCAGACCAGAACTTGGCTGGAGAACCTGGCTGGAGATCCTGGCTAGGCTGCTGATCAGCTGAACACTGTCTCCGTGTCCTTCCTTCTTCGCCGACTCCATCCTCACCTATGGGGAACCCCTGGACCTGCTGGGGCAGGACCTCGGCAAATTTTCAGATGTCTAACCAGGATATGTTTGTGGATAAAATATTTCCCACATACATTACACTCATATGGCTTTTCTCCAGTGTGAACTCTGTGGTGTTGAATGAGGTTACAATTTTGACTGAAGAACTCCCCACAATCACTACACTGATATGGCTTTTCACCAGTGTGAATTCTTTTGCGGTTAAGGAGTTGAGTACTGTAACTAAAAGATTTCCCAGAGTCACCACATTGATACGGCTTTTCAACAGTATAAAATCTTTTGTGGTTAAGGAGTTTATTATTGTACCTGAAAGACTTTCCACATTCACTACACTCATATGGTTTTTCTCCAGTGTGAACTCTATGGTGTTGGTTGAGGTTAGACTTATATCTGAAGGACTTCCCACAATCAGTACATTGATACTACTTTTCTCCACTGTGAACTCTCTGACGCTCAGTGAGAGTAGTGATTTACTTAAATGACTTCCCACAATCAGTACATTGATACGACTTTTCTCCACTGTGAACTCTCTGATGCTCAGTGAGAGTAGTGATTTGCTTAAATAACTTCCCACAATAACTGCAGTCATATGGCTTTTCTCCAGTGTGAACTCTGTGGTGTTGAATGAGGTTACAATTTTGACTGAAAGACTTCCCACATTCACTACATTGATACGGCTTATCACCAGTGTGAACTCTTTGGGGGTTAAGGAGTTGACTGTTGTACCTAAAAGATTTTCCACATTCACTACACTCATAAGGTTTTCCTCTAGAATGAACTTCTTGAAGTTCAATGAGATTACAGCTTATGCTTAATGACTTACTGCTATCAGTACACTCATATGGCTTTTTTCCAGTGTGGACTTTCTTTTGGGTAAAGAGGAGATTCTTATGCCTAAATGATTTCCCACATTCACTAACTTCAAAAGGTTTTTCAACAGTATGAACTCTATGGTGTTCAGTGAGAGAAGAACTTTGATGAAAGGGCTTTCTACAATCATCACACTCACAGGAATTTTTTCCACTGTGAACTCTCCTATGTCGATTGAGGTTAATGTTACACCTAAAAACTCTTCCATATTCTTATACTCATATTTCACTTCACCAGAGCAGATATCCTGGTGTTGAACAAATTTATGTCTGTAGCTTGCAGCATTTTTACGTTTGCCTTACTGGTGATTAGTAATTTTCCACTGAGAATTTCTGTGAAAACTCACTACCACTGTGTGAGGCTTCCTGTGCTAAGAGGTGCCTGGGGCTGCAACAGGCCTGAAATGGCTGAGAAGTCTTTCCCAGGCTCACTAGTGGCTGAAGGCACCCCTAAGATGTAGAAGGTGCACCTGCTCACAAACAAGGCCCTGTCCATAGCTTCTTTCCAGGACTTGTCTCCACTGACATCCCTCTGTTGCTGGTGATGGTTTACATGGAAACTGAACCTCTAACACGTGTCACTAAAGAAGGCTTTCTGTTCAAAGTATGCTGCTTGTGACTCAGTCAGGTGCAGAATATCTTTTAAAACTGAGAAACACCGCTTACAGAGATAGGTCGTCTGGGCTGGTGGAGCTGTCTTAGAAGCCATGAATTTTGCTCCCACTTGTACAGATACACTCTCATCAGAACAGGCCTCTTCATCATACATTTTATGCCAACATCCTGAAAACAGAAATATGGTGAAGAAGTAAATGTTGACCAGTGACACAGGGATGTCCCATTAAAAAAGTGTGTTGTACATATTACCTTGGCTTCATGCAAATGGCTGAAAATAAAAGATTTCCAGGAAGGATTTATAGGCTACTGAAGTTCTGGCTACTGAAGATCAAGAACAAGGTAGACCTCAAATGAAATATGACACAAGCATGGCAAGCACCACATGGAACAGAAAAGGGATCACCTGCTCATTCCTCTGCTATCAGCATTCAGCAGAGCTTGTCTGCTGGTAACATGGGCAAGCTGTGCAGAATGTTGGGTACACCTTATCCCAAGTAAAATTTAATAAATGAATAGCTTGTGTATGAGGTCTACTTAAGCAAGTATGCACATCTCATAACACATGCACAGGTCAATGTTGGAGAATACTGCAGAGAAAGCCTTGCAGGGGCCAGGTGATGCAAAAAGGCCAGAAAGTAAAGGTAGCCAAAAGCCAGGAAGTCACAGATGAAATGACAAGTCAGCAAAGTTTCATGTATGGGATAGAAAAGGTAGAAATGAGCTCCTTCCAGTGGCAGTTGCACCGAAACATTGATGGAAATTAGCAGGTCCCTTGTATGATCTGAACACAGCCCTTATGTCATACTTTTCCCAGTTGCCACTCAACGGGGCCAGATCTCCTCTGAAATCATGCTGCATGTTCACCCTGTAAAAGAAACCAGTGTTCTCCCTGCACTTTCTGAGGTACAAGTATGTAAAACCTAAATATTCAAAGAATTAATGAAAGACACCAGAGGTGAGCAGCCAGCACTGGCCCAAGCAGCTCAGCATGCAACAGTATTCAGGGAAGAGAATACTACAAATAATGGAAGGAGAATATCACAATAATCGCCCATGGTTCGTTTAAATGAAGACCATAACCAGGCTCAGGCAGTCACCAATGACCCTAGGGGGAGGAAGGGTACAGAAGTGGAAGCCATGGATCTGGACATAGTCACTCCCCCAGGAAGAGGAAGTTAAGGAGGGTCCCTTTAAACTGTCTGCAAGACTCATGACTTCCACACACTTCCTGCACTCTCTGAGGCAATGGGTGTTAGGGGTGTTTGGTGAGTCCATTGTTCAGGGCTCTCCACACAGCTCAGCACATGTATCCACAGAGAGCCCACGGTTTGGCTGTGGAATAAAGAAAGTTATGTCTGGAAAATAAAGGAAGAGGGGCCACCACATCAGGACACTAGAAAATGTGAAAATCTTACCTACAAGTGCAAACACTTACAGCATCACATTGCAGTATAGATGTCTCTGATCCTCATCAAGGAGCCCCCATTCCTTCTGAGAGAAGGCAACGGCCACATTATCAAAATTCATATCCTGGTATAATGGGGACAGTTCAGCCCACGATCAGCATCTCTCCTATGATTTTCTGTTCATCATACTGCCCACCCTACACATCCATCCTTCCCCTCTACTACCTTTATCAGAGTAGTACCACGCCTTAGTCCAATCAAAGTAACTCTCCCCTTATATGCCAACTGATACCACATCTACCCACAACAATAAAGTTTGATGAGCAAATAAAAGGTATCTGAATCCTGGGCCTCACATGTAGGTCACGCAGCCTCTTCTCAATACAGCTGAGGGAGAAATGTTGACCATAAAGAGAGTATGATTGATTTGACACTGGTCTTAACAGGCATTCCCCATGTAGTGCCCCAGAATATCCCTCAAAGTCCCAGAAAAGTATGGGATCACACTTCACTCTTTGGAACTCAATCCTAGGATGCTGAGTCCATCACCTTTCACTAACAGTCACATAATTCTTCAAAACACACTCCTCTCACAGCCTCTTTCCCAGAGTTACAATTTCAAAAATAACACCAATATGCCTTGTTGTGGTCAGGATTTTTCCTAATCACCTTCTTTTCCAAAATACTAACTCACCACTTTATAATGTATTCTCTCCTTCCCGCTGCCTTCCCTATACTAGTAAGGATTTTCAAGCCCAGGAGACACTGATGTATGCTATCGTGTTCCTAATGATCACTGTATCTGCCCTCAACAACTGACAGGTGTGCACATCTATAACACCTAAGCTCTGGACATAGCATGTAGCATGACAATACACCTCTTTTCAGACAATTACACTAAAATTCCACATATTAACATCCAGTCACCACCAAAACTGAATTCACCTTTCATTCACTCTTAAGTCAATTTCAGGGCCCTGTGACCATGAATTAGCATGCCCTCTCCAACTGCACCTCAGTCTTTCTACCACACCTCTCTTGCACCTGCACTCCAACAGCCCCAACCACCATAACCATCTCCTTGACCTCCTACTCATTACTCAGCATGTGTGGCTCAGAGAATGAATGCCTGGCAAATTCAAACTGGATGAAGTACTACCCCAACTCTGACAGTCCACACTCATAGAGGCAGCCTTGCATCCTGCTCCAAAGCCCTCCCTCCCTGATTGGTTTTTACTTCAACCTCACCTAATGAAACCACATCAGCTCACAGATATCCAGAGCCCACCTTCATTGGTGCTGCACTTGATGTCCCTTCATGAGTCCCAGCCTTCATAACTCAAGTCTCATAGCTTGTGTCCCTCTAACGCAGTGGTTCTCAACCTTGGCTGCACATTAGAATCACCTGGGAATCTTTTAAAAATCCTGATTTCTGGGCCTCATCCTCCAGAAATTCTGTTTCTTTGTTACTAATGTTGTGGTCCCACCCCATAACAAAGAAAGAGAATTTCCAGAGGATGGGGCCCAGAAATCAGGATTTTAAAAAGATTCCCAGGTGATTCTAATGTGCAGCTAAGGTTGAGAACCACTGCTCTAACCCATGCCCAGTGAGTCTTACAGATGACCAAGGCAACTGAGGTACCTGCCCTTGACTGGAATCGAACCTGGGACCCTTCAGTTTGCAGACTGATGTTCTATGCACTGAGCCAAACTGGCCAGGGCCCTGTTGCTGGTTTTTAAAAATTGACATTAAGTACCTGAACCTAGGAAGCAGGGTAAGGGGCATTCCCGGGGAAGGTGGGAGGGGTGGGGAAGAAGGAAATTCAGGGTGTCAGTGCCTTCAATGGCAGAGGGTGAGCACGGGCCACATGCAGTGAGCACAGGCTTCCAGCAGAACCTCCCGCAGGGCGCACCTGGCCCCAGCGCGGGCATCTCACCTCTGGACTTGGCTGAGGAGGTGGTGGTCAGGTCGAGTGCTTTGGGACACCTTTTCAGGGGCTGCGGCATGAAGTCATTTCCACCCAGAGAGGAGGCAGCCTCGATTCTGTAACACACACGTAGGAAGATGTGTCGGCTGAAGCCAAATAGCCTCCCACACACCCTGGTTCTGCCTTGAGGAGCCTACACACTGAGGGGTGTGACTTTTACATCCTGACTCTGGAGTAGCCCAAAGTGCTAGAGGTGACACCCTGAGATGTTGCTGTTCAACCAGGTGTTGGAAGAGCGTCTATTGCGAAGTTGGTCTTGGCAGTGGGCAGTGGTCACCCGGGAGTTAAGCTCCAGCAGGACCCTGCCAGTGGGAAGGGCTTACCTTCTTTGTGACTAACAGGATCCTGTCAGTGGAAGGGGCTTAGGTCATGTGGGAGGAGCTTAGCTCATAAGGGAGGGGCATAATGCCTTGTGTGACCAGCAGGACACTGTCAGTGGGTGGGGCTTAACTCCTGAGTGACCAGCAGGATCCTGTCAGTGGGTGGGGCTTAGCTCCTGTGTGACCAGCAGGATCCTGTCAGTGGGAGGGGCTTTCATTTTCTGTCTCTTTTTCTCCCGGAAACAGAGACAGAAAATGAAATGCTGCCCCCGTGAGCTCCCAGTGACCACCGACTACAGAGGGGACACCTTGCTGACCCGACACCACTTTTCCCTTTGTCAGAAGGGCGTTGATATAAGCCAAAACCCTTGAACATTAATTCATTATCCTAGTCCTGTATAAGACAATTTTCTGTTATCCAACCCCGGCCAACAGGGGTAGGTTTTTTGTTCACCCCTCGCTTTAATGCACAGGGTTACCGTGCATACTCCATTGGATATCACTCATTTTCAAAAAAGTCTAGAGCAGGCAGGCCGGCGTGGCTCAGCAGTTGAGCATCGACTATGAACCAGGCGGTCAGGGTTCGATTCCCCTTCAGGTCAAATGCCTAGGTTACAGGCTCCATCCCCAGTGGGGGGCATGCAGGAGGCAGCCAGTCCAAGATTCCACTCATCATTGATATTTCTCTCTCTCTCCCTCTCCCTTCCTTTCTGAAATCAATAACAATATATTTTAAAAAAAGAATGGAACAATGGGATGGGGGAGTTGGAGAATCAGAGAGCCAGAGAGAGTGGTTCCCACTGGTTCTGATCCCACATCAGAACGGGTGGGGGCGGGAGGCTCTTACCGCATCCTCAGCTTCCTCTGCAGTGGCTGCAGGATGTTGGCGGACTGCTGGTGATACTCTAGAGCCGCCTGGATAAACAGCGCCAACTGGCCAACTTGCTCTACCTGCAGGGAAGGGGACATTATCCCTGGCGGCCAGAGCCCGTGGGAGCCGGAGGCAGACATGAGCCCAGGGACCAGGCCTTGCAGGGAAGCCGCATCAGCCTCGGCTCATTTAATATCACAAGGAGCAGGTGATCATCACGCAGGTCCAGGTGCATAGAGCTAGTGATGCCGGCCGCACATGTGCACATTGAGTTCTGATTATAAATGTGCTTTAACTCAATCAAACGCCGATTAGCCCACGGAGAGGATATTCTCGGGAGATTTTCTTTTATGCTATAAAGTTCATCAATCTGAGAGCATCAGCCTGGGGACCAAAGGGTCCCGGGTTGGATTCTGGTCAAGGGCACGTGCCTTGGTTGCAGGCTCCTCCCCGGCCGGGCCCAGGTTGGTGCTCCTGCAAGAGGCAACCAATTGACGTTTCTCTCACATGGATGTTTCTCTCTGTCTCTCCCTCTCGCTTTCACTCTCTCTAAAAATCAATGGGAA